TCATTATCATTATTTATGAATTTATTTATTTATTATTAATTTTATTTATTCCTCACATTTACATGTGACACAGTTCATCCAGGGAGTCACTAAGCTGATTCAAGAGACATGTGAGGCTGCTGCCTCTTTGCCACATGTCACATAGTGCAGCTAGCCACAGTTACAACTCTCTGCCTCAACATACACACCGATGTTCTTCACTTTGATTATTTTATAGTTTTATAGCATAGAGTACAGTACTATAAAACTATAAAATACTGTACTGTATACAGTATAGTATTTTCTTTATTTTCTAAGCCACATTACAGTTGGTATTGTAATGATGTGCACTTGGAGCACAGAATCCTCAGTTTTTCCTATTTCCCTCCCAAACTTTTTCCAGTGAGTCAAAGATAGCTAAACTGAAAAATGATGATTGTTACTCAAGAAAGGGTGTTAAAATTTTAAACTGCTAAACAGAAATATAGCGAAGTAAACAATCGTTATATTCGGGATACCTGTACTGTAGTCATGAAATGACTAATATTGAAGCCCAAATTACTTTAAGCCTAATGTTACTGTATCAGGGTAGTAAAATGCTGTATTGCTTTTACACTCCTGGGGGTTATTCTGTATAGTAATTTTTCTCACATAAAAAACCCTTTGCTTCACTTAAAACACATAAAAATTCACCAAATTCATAGCTTGTTCCTCCTCTTCAAAACGCCATAACATATCCATTGTCATATCCTGACTTCACATATTTACCTTTGTCTCTTCTTAGCAATAAACTACTACAACCTGCTGCTCATTTTGATACAGTAAGTCCCCACTGAATGATAGGGTTAGGTTCCACTACAACGCTTTCGTTAGGTGGATTAAGTTCATCGAATCTATTTTTACCATATAAATTAATGTAATAAGGGGGGATGTGTTCCTGTACTAAGCTCTGTGATAGAATAATATACTGTACTACGCTGTGTGATAAAATAATTACAACACATCAAAATACTGTAGATAAAAATAATAAAACATGTAAAACATAAAGGTACATAAACAGAGCGGTCAATTGTTGGTTGTGGTAATATTAATTCATTCACTCTAGTAATGATACAATGTTTCTCATTATGTTATCATAGGAAAATGCATGGTTTATATAATTTGTTTATCACTGAGCCCATCACCATTTTCAAATTAGACTACATACAAGATATGTATTTCTTCCATACGTACGCCTGGCTATGCCTGGCAACGGGAGCGGGTAATGGGGAGTGAATGACCCCTAGTTGAGTGTTGTCAGCAGTTGTAACTCTCCTCACTCCCTGCCATATTTCACTGGGTTTACTGTTACAGTGGGGTATGCTATAACGAACGGATCCTACTACGAATATTCCTATAACGAACGGTTTTACCTATAAAATTGAGAATGCTATAACGAACGCAACTCCTACAACGAACGCGAATGAATACGGGACTATTTCATCTGGCGCATGAATATTGTTGTACAGCAGCTCACAACAAGAGCGTCAGGCGCCATCTTTGTCTCATTGTGTAGCCAGTGCACCACTGTTATTGTTGAAATTTCGTCTTTTGATGTGGAAATTCGTGTTATTTGTATAACTATTTTGTTATACAAGTATACAATTGTAACAATGAATCATCCAAAGAAAGAAATCATAAAGAAACGTGAGAATGGAACAAGCATTGCGAAACTTAAGTGATGAATATGGGATGGCTAAATCGACTATATGTACGATTTTGAAGATAAAGAGGAGTTAAAAACTGTGCAAGTGGCTAAGGGAATCTCTAGACTTAGCAAGGCAAGGTGTAATGTGATTGAAGAGATGGAAAATTTACTCTTAGTGAGGATAAAGGAGAAAGAAATGGCAGGTGATAGCATTAGTGAAGCTATAATTTGTGAGAGGGCCAAACAATTTTTTGAGGACCTTAAAGCCAAGACTCCCAGTGGAAGTGATAGTGCTGTGCCAGTGTTTAGGGGTACCTGCATGCTGAACAACACAAAGTTAAGATAAAGTACCGTATTTTTTACATTTTCCACAGAAAATTTTCAGTGTTAAGTGGTTGTATTTGGGGGCCTGGGACGGATTAATCCTATAACGAACAAATGCTATAACGAACGAGGTTCTAGAACCAATTAGATTCGTTATAGCATACCCCACTGTATTATTAATGTTTACTGATAGAATAGTGCTTAATAGTGATTAATGATGGCGTTGCAGCTAATGGGCCAAGCTGTGAGGTGTTTGCTGCCTCAGTTAGGGAGGGGAGTAGTGTTCACAATGTACAGCGGTGGGAGCATTGCCCGGGAGAAAGAAGAGGTACCTCCCAGTTGGTGTCTGTTACTATGGGGAAGCAGGGAGTGTATGCAAATGGCAACTGTTAAACTTTCACCAGTTTAGCAATACTGTACAATACTGTTGTACAATACTGTATTGTATCATGAATGACAGTCATAGTAGAGAGAGAGAGGCAGAATGTCAGTGAGATGCAGTGGGTGGGGAGGGGGAAGGAGATCATGGTCAGTAGGTTTGTTTGGTAACACTGGCAACTGTGTCAAACTTTCATTTGGCATTTATTTACTGGTTTAGGTCCCAGACTTACGAACATCCGCCAATATGAACGGGGTTACACTTAGAATTTACAGTATTATATTTACCTGATGACTTATTCTTACTTTCATTTACTGTATTTTGTCATTCTATTTCTTCTTTTGTCTTAAATTAAGTGATTTTTAGATGTACAGTATATAAGGACTTAGGCTAAAATATAGTGGGAATATAAACATTGTTTTGTAAGTACAGTATGCATGTGGCAGGTGTTGCTTCTTACGTACAAATCCGACTTACGGACATCCTCAGGAACGGAACCCATTTGTAACCCGGGGACTCCCTGTACAGTATTTTTTGTTGTACAATACAGTATCATGAAAGACAGTCATAGTAGAATGAGAGAGAAGCAGAATGTTGGTGAGAAGCAGAGTGGGAGGGAGGGAGGGAGGGAGGAGGTGGTGGCGAGTAGATGATGTGTCAGTCGGTTTGTTTGGTAACAATGGCTGCAGCTTTGCGAGACATAAATTTTAAATTATAGAGTGAGAATAACAGATAAACACTGTACAGTATTGTACAATATTGTACCATCATGAAAGACAGTCATAGTAGAATGAGTGAGAGAGGCAGTGTCACTGAGATCAGTGGGTTGGAGGAAGGTGAAATTATGATTTAGGTGGTGATAATAGAGGTACACTGACAGAAATTTTTAATTTGTCAGCGATTTTTTAAGTTTCGTCAAATGTGTCTGATTTTGTCCACTTGTTTATAGTCACAGAAAGTTATATTTACCATATTATCTTGACACAAACACAAATTTTAATACTAACTTTAAAGTTTATTTTGAAAAAAAAAATCCTATGTTACACATGTAGAATCAAAGTCGAGTTAGGTGACCTACAATATCTTAATAATACAAAACATTTAAAGGTCTATGTCCTGTACATTCATGCGGTATGATCAGAGGTACAGGAGTTCCCAGGAACATTGTACGACCTAGGAAAAAATTCAGACCTGGCTCAAGTTGAACAACACACTGGCTTATTCATAATTTTTGTCCTCTCTTGTCTTGTGAATAATACAAGATAAGTTACAACCCAGACAGTCAGCCACCACATGCTTATTATGGTTTGTTTGAATGATGTTCAAAGTGAAAACAATGATGAAACTATCGCAGATTTAAAAAATAAACGGAGAGAATGATAGTGACGACACTGAGAAGGAACATTAATTCAGGAGAAAAAATCCACACACATGTCAGTGCCCGCCCGCCTAGCAATTTTTTTCTTGGCCATTGGGCCTTCCTGTAATTAAATTTAAATCTAGACTAGCTATATTTATTTCAGAGTCCAGGCACAACAGTCAGTAACAAATAAAATATTACATCTATCTGAATTCAATATACCGGTAATCAGTCAAAACAATGAAAAATTATGTAATTTCATATTCAAATATTTGTCCGATTTTTCTCTCAGATTTGTCAGCGAGTAGATTGCAGATCACAGACATTTATGTCAGTCGGGGGGATGATGGTGATCATGGAGCTGATGACATTGTTTCATTTATTGACAAATGGATAGTATAAACTTTCTTTCATTATAGTGAGGATTCATTCAAAGGATTAATGCTCAATGGGGACTTACTATACTAGTTATTTTATGAATTAAGACTTAATTCTTACTCACTAGCCTCAAACTTGTATCATAATGTTTACTTACATCATTTGCTTATATTTTGATAGCATTTACTTGCGGTAGGTATTATGTTTTTTAACACATGTACTGTACTATATAAAATACGTGAATGAATTTGTACTCATTATACAATATACTTTAAAGCACTTCTTTGTATTTATAAAAAATAAATAAAAATAAATACAAAAATCAAAACAAGGAATAATGAGGTATTTTTAACGAGAGCCACCTGTTCTTCAGATTCTTTTTTAAGGTAGGGTAATTGCTAATTATTGAAAAATATGTAATGAAAGGTTACCACATCAAGCTAAATCAAATTAACCAAATTATGAGATAAATACTGCATAAGTAAAATAAGTGAAAGAAAATAAGTAGACAAGGAAATATCCTAACAGTCTGACTACTGATGTGCAACACATACGTACTTTCTAAACAAGGCTTTTCAATCATAAGCTTACCAAATATTAGTTTGAGTATACACATGATGATGTTTCACCATGTATATTGCAGAAAGAAAAAAAAAAGTATTAAATTACCGGTAGTTTAAAAAGATTTTCTATGTATATGTAAAATCAAGATCTAGCATTTTTTTTCTTCATGATGGTATTATTTTGAACTCGAGAAATGATGTAAGCCCTTACAATTCTCTACTGGAGCAGTCCACATGCGAAATTATTTCTACATAATGCACATTTTAAGTTTCAATAATTTACTACTACAAAAAACTGAACATTAAAAAAATATACAGGGATATCATTACAATTACCGTGATGAACCTCCCGGGGTTTGGGTAGGTTGGTGACGCAGGTGTGAGGACACATTAGCACATTTGCCGGGTGCAGCGATCCTTCCAGGAACTTCTTGCGTGTCTCTGACAAATGAATCCCTCCCAGTGGTGTTTTAGGAAGGTGGTTAGGAGGTACAAGTGCTAAGCAATATATTCCCACTTGGTGGATACTGTCAACTGCCTGGAGCACTCTAGACATCCACTGGAAGCTCTGAAAAACAAAGCAAAATAATTTAATGTGTATTCATTGCATTGCTTATATTCAGTAAAACCAAATTTAAGCTAATAATAATGTGACCACAAAATGTAAAAAAAAAAATAGAGCAATTGCATCTGTGAACAAATGTGGAGATTTCGCTGGTTAGTACTGTACTGTACAATATATTAAATTGATTATGGCATACCTTTAGGAAAAACCCTGGAAGTTTCTATGTAAGCATTGGCTTATAAAACAGTTAAATGTGATGTGTGTCTGCAGGCTGCAAGTGAAAGTAACAGTCTTGCTGTCACATACAAATGTAACCACTAGTACTCAAGATGGAGATACAGTAGTGACAAATACATCAGGTGAAGAAACTGAGCAAATGCCAAGTGAAATAAACTGAGAAATATCTGTTTTATCAAATACTGCATCCATAAAAATCAAGCAAAACTACATCATTCACTATCTTACTCTGCTGGATGGAGATGAGTCATGTGAGATACCGGTAGGCATAAGCTCACCAGGATACCACACCACACAAAGTATTGCAGAACTTATTCACCAATTATTAAAGTACTGTATGATCTAAAAAAAAAAAAACTTGACGTACTGTACAACTCCAAACATTTGAATATTGAAGTATCAAAAGTTTGGCTTGTACTACACAACACAGAATTTGTACAGGCACTTCTGTGTTTGTATAAAAAGAACAAGTGAAGAAATTGTACACGGCACTTCTATGTTTAGTAATAAAGTAAGAGAAGAAAATTCCTATCTGCCTTCATTAAAATTGTATAAAATAAATAGTAATTATAAGTGGTTACAGGCCATCTATGCATAAAAGGAAAGGTGATAAAAAAAAGATTGCAAAAACTATATGGTATGCATGCTATTGAGAGGGTAAGGGAAAAGATAGAATACTATACAGTAGACCCTTGTCAACCATGTATTTCCCATCCGCAAAGTCCAAGGATCCATTGTTTTTACTCTGTGTACCATTTTACCAACTATGGCATTGAATTTCAAGTACAGTACACTCTCGATTTAAAGGAATCCGCTATAACGAACTCTCAATTTAGCGGAGGGCATTTTTCGTTATTTTCCGCTCAATTTAGTGAACTAGATCACTAAATCGAGATTAATTCCGTTAATAAGCTCACACCTACGGAGACACCCCAGACACATGATACAGTAAAACATACTTCAGCCTAGGGTGAATGTACTAAATGTATAAAAATTATAAATACAGTACTGTAATGATGTAAAGCAAGTACGTACAGGAAAGTCTGAGAAAATGGGAGAAAAAATCACTCCAAACCTTTCTGCTCTGGGCCTGGGGACAAAAATTCCCAGCATTATGAAAAATTGCACCATGTTCAGCCGCAATGAAGACTTTGTAAACATCAATATTACATGAAACTACAGTGAACCCTTGAAGATCCAGACTAAAAGGGGGGACCACCTGTCTGTATAAGCCGATTAGCCGAATCTTCCAGCGAATGTACAAAATGTATAAAAACGATCATTAATTATATAAAAAACACCAAAAATACAGTACTACATATTATCCTGACCACTGGGGTTAGTTATACAGACTTTTTCCTGCGAAAAAGCCGTAATTTTGAGCAACATTACCATACTCATTTGTACTCGATGTACTACATTTAAGGACTAAATATGTAATGTCTATACTCAAATTTTTGCTATTTTGCAAGGATTCCATCAATGTAAGTTATATTCTGCTAATTTTAGTCTGTAACATTTTATAAGATAAAAACTTTAAGCCTAAAACCACCAAACCCTGGCTGGGAGGATGAGGGAGAGGGAGGGAGGGGGAGGTGATGTGTTTGACAGCTGACGCCGAAGGTCAGATGCGTATTTATTTATCTGTCCTTTAGAGGGAGTTTAAGTTTTTCTATATAAAATGTCAATGAATTGACTTGGGAAAATATAACTAACATGGCTAGAATTCTTGTAAGATAGTGATTAATTTGAATATAAACATGCTATAGTTTGCACTAGACATAAAAATTTTAGTAATTATTTAGTACAGTAAGATCTTGTATTTTGCGAGTATTATAGACTGGAAAAATTGCGCCAAATTCAAATTCTCCAAATGCAAATACATAAACTAATTGGAAAAATAAAAATATAGACTGGCCACTCTACATCAACCTCCGATTTTCTCATTTATAACCTCCAAAGGATACAAATTCTACCTTTATTGACCTGATTGTGCTTTCCGGAAACTAGTTTTTAGGCTTTCCTCAAGTAACTTAATCACACGCTGCTTATCCTGCATCGAGTACTTGGCAAACTTTACTCCCTTATGATAGTCCCGCTTCTCCTTTTCCTGATTTGGCCGTTTAGGTGGCCATATAAACTTACGCGTTTCGGGTCTAATGTAGGACTTATTAACTCTCTGGCTTGATGGCTCACAGGACGGCTAGAGACTAGTCAGCCTGAGACGAGGGCCATCTGTTTCACACTTAACACCTCAGCAAAGCTCGTTGTTAACACTCCCTCTGTCTCTCTCCTAACTCCCCCTTCTCTCTCTCTCCCTCCCTTCTAGTTTATCCTACTGTGGCAGTAACACTCCTCCTCAGTAGGACCCCCAGTAGAGGTAGAGGCCATTGTCTTGACTCGACAGGTGGTAGCACCACCCAAAAAAGCACACAATAGCAGCCCGGGCGGTCGCTAGGATGGTGCAAGCTACAGCGAGAAAGGTGCGTTCTTGTAAACCTCTTTTACGTTCACCACCGGCAATTCGATCACCAGAACGCTTCTTGGAAACATTCTTCTTACTTTGTCCTTCCATATTCATCGTTAATACAACCAAATTGGAGAAAACAGCAAAAATCACGGAGCAATCGACAGAAACCGCACAATTCACCTGATCATGTGATGTAAACAGAGAGTGCTGGTGTAAACTGTTATTAGTCCTCACTGCGAAACATTCGTTTTACTTGTTCTTTTCATACAGTATTTATGGGTAACAGCTAAATTTGCAAAAAATTAGAACGAAATTTACAGAGTACCTCTCAAAAAACACTTCACAAACAAGACACGAATCAATTCAACATGTGATGTCGAACGTGAACTGCAAACACTGCATACCCCCGCGCCACGCTTAAAACGTTGAGGATGGAATCAAAACACTGAGGATGGAATCGCGCTATAGCCAACATTCGTATGCAAAAGCTTGTGTTTTACAAACAGCGTTCCCCCATTCATCAATCGCGTTACAACCAATTCGCGTTGACAAAACAAGCATTGTAGCAGAAATGACTGTAACTAGTATGAGGGCTGTGACATCATTCAAGATGGTGGCCAGCATAGAGCTTCCTGGATCTCGCGTTCAGCTGGCTGAATCTCGCGAAATTCACGATATATTTTACGCCAAATATAAGACTTGGTTATATTAGATAGTGCTCGCGAAATAAAAAAAATGCGAAATATGAGATCTTACTGTACAGTACAGGTTTGCCCTGAGGGCAATCATTTCTTTCACTTTTTTCACAATATTTATCTAAGATAGTGTTGCATGTGAATGAGTAAAAATAAATGAAGAAAGTTTTGTATGTCTACCCAAAAATACAAGTTGAAAAGCTTGCACAAAAATGTACAACACTAATGGACTAAAATTTTTATTTCTTCTGCAAAATATATTATGTCTATATTAAAATTATTTGCTGTCTTGCAAGGATTCCGGGTCCGGATCTTCGAGAGTTAACTGTAAATTTAACACTCTTGGGTTTAGGGAAGTGCTCTCCAGTGAGACGCTCAGGGTCTGGCTAGTCACTAACCTCACCGCACTTGACTGCACCATACAAGAGATAATTGTACATAAGGAGTCATAGCAAGTTTGCTATTTCAGATAAAAAGGTGGGGTTTGTCACATTAGCATTGCAAGTAAATTATCTACAAACAGTTTTAAATAAGTAATCATGATAAAATAATTATCTCTCTATGTAAGTGCAAGTAGAACACAAAATTTCTCATTATGCTTAATGAAAATATTTTTACATCACTTTATACCTTTGTTATTTCATGTGATTGCAATATGAACCTTATTCCATTATAAAGCATACATGTTGAACAAAAATGAAGTTATATTAGAAAAGTTGTGAAAAATTAACATAGTGGTGTAATAGTGGTGTAAAATGTGGGTTCTGATGATCACACCCAGGTTTATGTAGGTTATCACAATAAATGATTAAATCTACACGTAAGCGTGAGTATAATACAAATTGTAGTGCATGGCTCCCACTCATGCTCCCAAATGTGTGTATTAGCTCGTCTCATAGACAAGTCTATATATAAATATGGGGTAGTATCATATCGCCCCTGTAATTTTCCACTATCCATGAGGTGACATGGTCAGATCACGTGATGGGTAAGTTTCACTCTTGAGGAGTGGCTCTAGAAATGCTAGTGTCAGCTATTAGAAGCAGGCTAGCGCCCCACTATCATCTCAACCCTCACGCCAACTGGACGTATTAGTAGAGCTTATCTAAGATAGCCTCCGTCCTTATTTAACACTCATAGCTACAGTGATTAACTTCGGTGATATACATTTGGAACTTTAGAGAATATATTTTTCTAAATAAATGAAGAAAAGGACCATTTGGGTTTCACGACTAAAACCCAATACAGTGGTCCCTCAGTTAACGAACACAATTCGTTCCACAGAGTCGTTCGTTAACCGAAAATTTTGTTAACCGAATCCATTATTTCAATGAGGTATTGGGTAATTGGTTCCAGCTCACAGAAAAGTACATACAAAGTAAGGCCAAAAATGCATAAAGTCAGAAACACTCCTAAAATTCCCCTAAATTGCCCTTAAATCACTATACAGTGGTACCTTGGTTAACAAGCACAATTCGTTCCAGAAGGTTGCTCGTTAACCGAAAAATTCGTTAACCAAAACCATTGTTTCAATGGGTTTTTGGGTAATTGGTTCCAGCTCACCGAAAATTACATACAAACTAAAAATAAATGCAGTAAAG